TCTATGCTGAACCAAGGGGATTTGTCCATACATATGCCAAAATAGCTAAGAAGTCAGGGTGACTCTGGGGACCAGGTGTGGTGGCAACAGATGAGGAGGGGAGAGAGTGTGGACAGCTGCAGTGGCTGAGCTCTTCCCACCCTTGGTTTTCCCTTACACAGACTAATGAGAAATCCAGATGCTGCAGGAGAAAAATGCAGTGTTTCTTTTCCATGTTCCCATTTCAGTCCAATGTCTTGTTCCTGACTTTCTAGTACCAACCACAACAGAAAGCGATTTGTGCTCCACTGCAAGAAGCACACCATAGATTTTATGGAACTGCCGTATTTTTTCCTTTAAAATTCTGGCTTGTGGGATGACTGCTCCTTGACCTACTGAACAACTGGCTTTCTTTCAATTACATAAACAGGATGGAATAGTAGAAAGTGAAAGAGCTGAGAAAAGAAATGGTTTCAAGAAAGACTATTCATCCATTCAATAAAGACTGACTGAGCACCAGCCATTCATTCAGTGGACATGTACTGAGTGCCTACCAGGCACAGAGGCGAGAGCACAGTCCTTGCCGTCCAGCTCTCACTGACCACTGGGAAGACAGATGAATGAAGAACTAAGTGCAAGATGGCATCATGGCCAAGGAGAGGGAAGCAGGGGGTGCAACAGGAGACCATAGGATTGGACCCTAATCCAGACTAAAAGAGTCAAGAACTGCTTCCTGAAGGGTAACTTCTGAGCTGAATTCTGAGGGCTGAGGAGGTTAGTCAAGCTAAAGGAGTGGAGGGTGGGAGCTACAGGGTTCCTGCAGAAGGGTTCCTGAAAAAAAGCATGGAAACAGAGAAAACAGAAAATTCAAAGAAATCTAACAGTAACTTGTAGACCTGGAACATGGGAGCAATAAAGGGACACATGACATTAGAGAGGCAGGGGTGGATCATGAAGGGCCTCGTATACATGCTAAGGAGGAACTAGGACTTTATCCTGTAGCTCAGTGGATTTCAGACAGGTGGAATTTTGCTCCCTCTGCCCCCCAAGACATTGTCAATGTCTGGAGATATATTTGTTTGTCACAACTGGATGGTTGACCACAGTTCGAGTCCCGGACCTGGTGGCTTAAAACTCATGCAGGGCATGTGTGTGTGTATGCCCAGAATCCTGAGAGGAAACTGGAGAAGAAAGAATTGCAGTGTGGCCATCCCCTCTTGGGGGTGATTTCTCGCTTTCTGTCTCTCTGTCTCTCCAGTGAGTATATGCATAGGGGGTGGTTTCTCGCTTTCTGTATTTCTGGTGGTATATGCATCCCTAATACAAAAAACCTCTCGGGGGAAAAAAAAAAAAAAAAAAGAAGTCAAGTATGAACAAGCAAACAAGAATTTAGGTCAAATAAGAGAACAAAAGAAAAGTGAATTTGGATTTAGTAAATCAGGATATTGTTGAGAGCTCTGGTAGGCAGAGGTATAGTAACAGGGACAGAAGAAAAAACAGGTGCAGATT